CATATTATTTCACAAACTTCGACATGCTCCTCGTTAATAATCACTCTTCGTTTTTTTACCATCAACAGTACGAATCTAGAACAGTAGCAGGCCAAGAAATTTAAGGAACTGTCGGCCATTATTTCATTTCTTTTTTGTCATCGACAAAGTGTGCATTATATAATACCTACGGAATTTTGCCGGACTTAATAAAAAATACACCAGCCTGGGAGTCCCCCTGGTTTTTTGCAACATTAGAAATTCCACACCGAAAATTGATCCATGCACGCGAGATTATGTCCTGGGGGACAAATATAAGGGGTGGGGTTCATGTTCCTCATCCCATGCAGTCACATACGTTTTCTTGTAACATGTTATGTATACTGTATGTGTGTCAGTGTGAACATTTGTGACAAACTTAATAATAATTAATTATAATAATAAATATATGTAAATAGCTCAATCTACATATTTTTCTAACAATAGGAAAACTGCTGGTGGTGACAGAGTTCTGTGCTGGAGGAAACCTACAAAAGTTCCTAAGGAAAAGTAAAGTCAGCTACAACACTGAAAACGTGGGATCAAACTATGTAAATATAACATCGACATTGGACCATCGTCAACTATTAAAAATGGCCGTTGATGTTGCAAATGGAATGGTCCATCTTTCTGCTCAGAAGGTATTTAGGGAATGTTTACATTGGATAACTTTTTAGCCCTCCCAGTAATTGGTAAAATCAACATTCTTGCAAAAATCAAAATAAAAGAGTGTTGCTATAAAATAAATTATCGATAAGAGTAAAGAGAAATGCTGAACGAAATTTACTGCCATATAATATTATTATATATTTCCAGCAGATACTTTGAAGTACATGCTGCTTCAGAAATTACTTCATAAATTATCCTTTACTATGACTTTTCTTTTGTTGCTTGTAGTGCCACAGTTGCATGTGCGTGCGTGTGCATTTCGTCATGGCACCTGTTGGTAAACTTTTTCCATTTTTCATTCAGCGGAAGATTTAATATTTGAAAAAGGATATAGATTAGTGTGTTGCTGTTTTAAAATGCTGAAAACTGTCATTGCTATAACCCTAACCAATGACTTCAATTCATAAACAACGTCACACGGATCTAATATCCCACATGCTGATTAATACATCGCAGTAAAAATCTTAATATATTAATACTTGACATTACTTGTCATACTTCAGTTTGTTCATCGTGATTTGGCTGCCAGAAATATTCTTCTTGCCAACGATAATGTGGCAAAAGTTTCAGACTTTGGTTTGGCGAGAGATATTGAAAGTGCTGAAGAATATATACGAAGTAACCAGGTATTATTTTGTACTTCGACTTTTTTTCTACAGCACCGCTGATCATGAATATTCCAGTTCCGTGAAAATGCTGGGAGTTTTATTTATGCCCAATGGAAGCAAAAAGTGATTTTGCAAAGATGATATACTTAACCTTTAATGAATGAGAATGTGCATGATATGAATAATTATCAAGCCTAAGGTTCGTGTTATCAAAGGAAGCGGAAGGCTGATGTTGATAACTCAAACTGAGGGCTTGATAAATTCTTCATATCTTGCGAAAACAGAATTCAATAATTGTTTTATTATTTATTTCAGAGATGAAAAAGACATCGGCACCTGTTGGTTCATTTCGCCGAAATAACCAGTTCTTGAATGACCAGTTCTTTTTTCACTATCTTTTCTTTTTTCTTGCATAGATTTCATAATAGCGATAGATTTCATGCAACCAATCCGATAAAATGCTGGTTCCAAGAAGAATATATTTAGTTTAGATTTTTAACTGTTAAATACATGTATGCATCATCATGCATAGCATGAATATTTTTTCTCAGATTTATTCTGTATCGCATGAAAAAGCAACGCAATTTTGAGAATGCGGAAATGGTGTCTCATAGAACCTAAAATGATTTAAATGCAACATTTCTGATCAAAATCACATTGGGATTTTCTCCCCCGCCCCCCAGCATCACAGAGGGGAAATAAGGTGACACTGACCCCCCTCCTATTTTTCAAGGTGACTTTTCCAATTTATTTAATTCCGAGTAGAAATGTCTGGAAAAATTCATGTCTTCGATGTACTTTATAATCTTCGGAATTCTGCTACATTTCACTCCCAAAATGCTTAAAATCGCAATTCAGGGACCCTAGATTTCAAAATTTTCCCGGGGGTGCATGCCCCCGGACCCTCCTAGACGGGCTCACGCCTTCGGTATTAGGTTCGCCCATAGATATCTTATATACACTAGATAGCGCATCTCTTTTAGTAAAATTGAAGCCAAGAATATTCCAGCGGTTACCCCCATTTGAATAGATGGCGGCCATGTTGATCGTTCCATAGTTTGAAAATGTGTTTGGAATAGGGTTAACTTAATGTTTAAGTTCCCTGCTCAAGAAGTAGAAAACATACGAATCTTCTCATTTCATGGGAACGACCTGAGACTGCAATCACCGCTTCAATTTTCGAATTTCAGAATAAGTAGATGCACTATCTAGTGTATATAAGATATCTATGGGTTCGCCCCCCCCCCCTCAAAAAAAATTAAGGTCTGGCTACGCCACTGGTTATAGCTGTACGATTATAGCTACAAAGAGTTGAAGTTATTGTTTAAAGTAAAATATAGGTGAAGTTAATAAATTAAAGTTTTACAAAATCTCTCTTCAGACTCGCGCGTTCGCCAAACCTAGACGGCTCATATTTTTCGTTCTGCCTTTTTTCCTGTTTTGCCCCTCCAGTGAAAAATCCTTAAAAAAGGCACTGTCAACTATTCAGTTGATATGACGATTTCACAGTTGGCTGTTAGCAAATCAGGAAACCTTTATCTTTAAATAAATAATAAAGTACGATACTGAACGCGTGATATAGGCTAATCCATATACAACGAGCTTTAATGATTATGTGTGAAATCAATCTATTTTGCAGAATCTTCTTCCTGTGAAGTGGATGGCCTTAGAAAGTTTACTTCATGGTCGGTTTACAACAGCTAGTGATGTGTAAGTTAATTTAGTTTTGGAATATTACTCTTGGTATAATGCAGAAAATTTAACACAAAACAGGAAAAAAGTCCGTTGACATGATTACATATTCGCTTAAGATAAAATTATGACGTGCAAAAACCTCGCTTTTTACAATTATGTACGACTCTTCATGACACATCATGTTAGACATGGTACAGGGAAACATACAGACTTATTTAATGATTCTGGTCGAAATAATTATTTTATATTTTAATTGATTTAAATGGAGTTTTGGCATTCTCCTCTATGAAATTGCTACCTTGGGTAGGTAATGCTCAAATATGCAAATTGTTAGTCGTCTTCAGTCATGATTTATTGTATTTGTAAACATCTTAAAACTATTGTAGTCGTGACTGTTAAGCAAAAAAAGTACAATCTCTTGTACTTTAAACGTTTTATTACAATATTAATTGAAAAATAACAAGACCACCGGAAAAAAGATAACAACATGGCCGACTTGAAATTATAACATAAAAAATATTGCAAAAATTTCAGGCGAAGAACCGTACAAGAACTTATCAGCGTACAACATAATCAGTCACGTGGGATGTGGGTGTCGAATGTCAAAACCATCTCATTGCTCCAGCGAAATGTAAGTAGAACTAAAGCGATTTTCCTCATGATTTTGAGAGGTATAGTTTAATGTGCTTAGAATAACTCACTTGCTTTATAACGATACCCCTTATGCATGACGGGAGGAGTCGTCATTTTGCAATCGAATAACTGTACGAGCACGTGATTTTATTTTGAAGATGAAATGGCGGATTTCTTAACAACTTTTTTGCAGCCATCGATAAGTCTAATCCGCAGGAAAACAAAACGAGAGCTCTGAACTACATGTACCTGCAATTTCATGGCGTTCCGTGTATTAATGAAGAAGAAAATGCACTGGCCAGGATATGACATGTGAACACGTCTGGCAAAAACATTTTGCGAAAAAATAGACATCACGAACAAGAATACGATTGGAATTTTTTTTGACAGCTGTTTATACTAAATATCTAGGTTATTTGGATTCGATAAGTTGATGAATGATATTTTAAGCCTTGTGAATTTGACAACCCTTGTCATGATCGAAATATTCCAAGTTTTTAATTTGAGTGAATTGCAAGGTTCTCTCACGCACTTGTCCTAAAATTTGGCATATTTGAATCCTTCCATTCCGTGTTTCCACTTATTGTAAATAAGAAGTATTATGATCAAACTTTCGTGCGCCTGTAACGATTCTGGCTGCCAAATTTTGGAAAATTCTAATATTTTGATCTTAGAATCAGATGTATTGGCCCCAACTAAAAGCAATAAAATGATTTGATTAACACCAATGACTATACTGTAATTACTTTCAAAATGCCCTTCATGCCAATAAATTTGGTATAACTTTGACATGCACGTTGACACCAGCTGTGTTGTACGTTTGTCGTATGATTGCATGCTAGTATAGTTTATTTGTGTCTGTTGATTGCAAATTCATTTACTTCTGAACAATTTATATTGATTTCTCAATATGAACATGTATGCTAACTATGCTAGCTGTTTCATCTGTATTTATTCATAAAAAAACCTATAGTATGTAAACCAGTTTCTACGTAATAAATATATTTTGCTATAATCTGCAGGGGCGTAGGAAGCATCAAAAGATTGGGGGGGGGACACCGACTTCTAGGGGCACTTTAGGGTATTGAAAAGGGCACCTAAAAAAATTTTTCCGGAAATGTTGGCGGGCTGGGGAGGGGGGAGAAAGGGAAAAATTTCCCGTAGTACCATATCGCAATTGGACGTTTTGAACTCGCACCTTCGGGTATCTAGATCGCCGCTCTACCCATTGAGCTATCGAGTCAACGGGGATTGGTAGCGAGTCTTATCCAATTTAAGTGCACGAAATATTTTCGTGTCGACTTAACGCTTGTCTTAGAACATGGCCACACCGACTCGGCCAATCGGAACTCAGTATTTCAGTGGTCTATATCCCATAGTATATTAATTCGTCAAGTGGTGTGGGCTTTGCGGGAAATTGCGGGGTAAAGAAATGTTAGCACTCTTCTATATAGAGCATACTAATGAGTCTATTGTTTTCTTTGTTTTGTAGCTTCATCCCCGAGCCGACGGCGCGAAGCGCCGTGCGAGGGTACTAATTCCCCCCGGCTATTTACACCCGGGGAAACGAAAGCATTAGCGGAATTTAAAGTTCATCAAATATCGCGGGCGTGGGTCACCAACGATGGGTGGTCATCCTCACTAATCTCAAAAATATGGCGGACTGTCATGAATAGCCGACACTGATTGGTCCAATTTAAAGTTTGCATTATAACGACTGGTACGACCGCATCACGACAGCGAAATTGCAAACATTTCTTGATTTGATGATTGATAAATTTCTTGCAAATATATTTCATTTTTACTCGCATTTTTGCAAGATTTTGTAAATTTCAAAAGCTCTCTCAGAAAAAATCGGGTAAAAGAAGGGAGCCGATGTTAACGAAGGTAAGTTTGTTTTAAATATTGATTTTATAATGGCTTTAAAACCCGACGGCCTTTGCGTATATGAAACAACTAAACAAGACAACATATAATTTCAGTGTATCTTTAATAATGATTCCCTTTTTTATTATATTGAATTTTTTAAATAAAAAAGAAAGCAAAGTTTTATTTGCATGCGAGAATTTGAAGTCATTTTATTGCAAACTCAAAGTTTATCGATAAAGCCATTTTATTAAAGGCAGTTTTAGTTTTATAAAGAACACTAGTGACTTTAAAACGTTTTGCGAAGCGTTTGTGGTTGAATTTTACCTTAAATTGAGGCTTATATTACATATAATAACATACCTAACATATATATGTTGGGAAATTAATAATTTTGTAATTAAAAGTGATATTTTTAGGCGATTTTTCATTTGTAAGAATATTCTTAAAAAATTATCATGTTACCATGACAACTGCTTTAGAACTTCATGTTCGGAAAATACAATGGTTTTGTCAGCAAGGGAAAATACAATGGTCTTGTCAGCAAGGGAAAATACAATGGTTTTGTCAGCAAGGGAAAATACAATGGTTTTGTCAGCAAGGGAAAATACAATGGTTTTGTCAGCAAGGCGAGGGTTTCTGCATGCATGTATTTTCTAGTTAGTATGCTCTATATACAGCGTACTAGTGACCACATAGAGCATACTAATGAGTTACATTTAAAGGCGTCAAAGACAAAATTGTTTGCTGCAAAAAATTATATTTAATATAAAGCTCAAAAATACAGCGGTATATTCACACAATCCTTACACAAATACAAACACACACACTCAACACTCCTATGCACACACACGCACGCGGCCGAGGCCGAGATATAATAAATGAGTATCGCTCAGTAACCAGCAGTGCCTGACGACGAGAACAGTTATTCGTCTGCTAACGTTAAAGGATTTGCCACATTTTTCGTCGTGCTAATGGCAGCACTTTGAATCCAAAGCGTTTCTAAATGATGAAAAATTGGCGTCGTCAATTGCCAGGATGTTCAAATGGAACCTCTTAAGATCGTCTTTGAAATGTCGCAATAACCCAGTAGCAATGTTATGTAAATTGTTTGCTGGATATGGTTTGCCATCCCCTCTCCTAGCTTCCAAAATAAATCCGTTTCAATTTTCGTATTTCGGTATTCAGCCCAAGCTCGATACACGTTTACCGCCCAAGAGTTATTTTTTCTAGTTTTGTTTGGAATTCTATCTCTCTTTCTTTGCTTTTTCTGTTCGTTTGTAGTAGGTTTCTCTAACCTACTACACTTTCCATTTGTGTCCAAATATTTTGAAATATCTACTCGTTCAGAAAGCAAGAAATCTTGTGTCGCTTCAAGTTGCTTCGCTGCGACAGCCCGTCCATGCTTTCGAAAGACGCTTATGCCTATCACTGACATATTAATGAAACCCTAAAACCGAATCAATCAAACCCTGAAAGCCAAACAAAGACCAAACATTGTAGTTAAAACCCTTATAAAATAAAATAATGCCCGAAAAAACCTACTTCCATCATAATTAAAAAGGAACAATACTAATTATTTGTTAACAATACACCTAATTAAAACAGACATTCCTCGTGGTTGTGATCATGTTCTAAGTCGGATAGACAATAATCACTTGTGTTCAGTGGGATTATAGACTCCCTCGAGGCGAGACGCGCAGTGTTCCAATTCTATTTCAGAACCATCCTCAGAGATACCAAAAACCGTACAGTTTCATATTATTCTGACACTGCAAACGACCAACGAAAAATTCGTTGGCTCGAGCGGGATTTGAACTCGCATCTTCGGGTATCTCGACCGCCGCTCTACCCATTGAGCTACAGACTAGTCCTTAGTCCTCTGTGCACGCTTTTGATTTCCGTGACGCCACCGAGCGTAACGCGCGCGAGAGGACTAGCACAAATTGTTTTCTAGCGTGCAAAGCAGGCGTTCGCGGGCTTGGTAAATCTCGTAAACGTTTTCCAATATGGCGGAATTTCAGGATAGATAAAATTGTATAAACATGGAAGAATATACCGAATATTTACAGGTGAACGTGAGTATTAAGGATCATGGTTATACAATGTAAATAAAATATAACTACTTAAGTTAAAGTTCTTTCAGGAGTAACGTAAATTTAAAATAAATTGCAACATATTTTTTGACTATTAATAGCCTATTACCCTGATCTGTCGGCTGAGTTCACTGTTTGTTTTATATATATATATATATATATATTTTTTATGTTTTATATATCAACAATTATGTTTTCATTGTTGTAATTGTAGAGCAAGTTAATATACTGTACATAAGTGTGTTTTCATTCATGAAATGTCAAATATCGACTACAGATTAGCTAAAGGATGCCTCACATATTGATTTTTTCCACGAGAAACGCCATATGTTTGTTTTGGGGTGGGGTTTGCAACTGTGACGTTTCTCAGTAAACATCATGGAAGAATTCGATAGCTTTTCGAAAGCCTTAACATTTCGGAATC